TGCAGCTAAGCAGCTCTCTTCTCACAAATATAGCGATATTGTTCAGTACATTTGTAGGTGGCGGCTTCTCCCGCATTTAAAAGTACACAGGACTCTCCAGGCATTTTCTTCTTTATTTGGAACCTGGAGTAGAAATTACATTGAACACAGCTATGCCATTTTTGTAAAATCATGAACGGTGTCATTGCATTTGGCTGCCTAAATATTGGGATGAAGTTATCTTATCTAACAATTTCATTTCATTTCATTTCTGAGTTCTGCACGGTAAGTTATCAAAAGCATTTGTCTGTGATTTAGATTTTTTTTAGTGTGAGGTTGTTAGGTCACCTGAGATGGCCTCTGTTTTATATTTACCAAAATTGTACACTTTCATTTCACTGGTAGGAGAGGTCTCTCTTTTTTCTCAGTAAATGCAGTGATGACATCAGTGTTTCAGCTTTGAAATTTCCCATTTTAGAATATGCGTGATTACCTGTATTCATATGTTGTTCTGTCATAGCGTTACAGCAATAATTGGTACTAAAAGGGAATATTACTACCTCTTTATATTTGTTTATTGAATTGTTTTATTATATTTATTCATTTAGATTCATTGAGTCCAAATAGAACTGCTCCTTCCTGTCAGAATTTGTAAAAGTAAAAAATACACAATAATTCTCCAGGTTCAATGACCTTTAAGCCCTATAACAAAGCCAAAGTGCAAACCCCATAAGAAATGCACAAGGACATAAACCACGAGGGAACAAATTCTAAACATGCCATAGACTTACAAGCCAGTAGAATGAGTTGTGCCATCCTCCCACATCACACTTGTAGCAGCTCCCATACGGGACAGTCCAATCCAGTGAAAACATACCAGCCCGTTTATGAAAACCTGTTTGGGAACAAGAGTAAATCATTTACAGCAATCCTCACTGATGGGAACGGATAGGAAAGACTGGAGAAGAAGTCAACACAATTTCAGCCAGGGGTATTAGTAATAAGAGACATGAGAAGGTCTCTTCTCACACAGCAAAGATATTAACTCAGTAGCATTCCCAGACTCTGTTACAGAGGGACAGAGCTCGATTTTCTTTCCAGATGGGTTTCATATCATTGACTTAATGGAGAAAAGTCCAAATTCACTGTAGAGAGAGAGGAGACTCAAGCCCTAGGAATGGACTCTCTGACTCCTCGTGCTTCATAAAACAGGCTAGGACATCACACTTCCTTTAATCACGCCTGCAGTCAGTGTTAGAATTGGTGTTCACTCCTGCTCTGGTGCCCAAATCTGCCCAGTCTCTATTAGGGACACAACTCTGAATACAACACAGATCTAGCAGTTCAGAGGGTCAGTTTACCTTGCCAGTGTTATTTTTTATTTTGTGCCTAAACCCCACTTCCTATCATGGGGCTATTGGGCAAGTGCAATTTGGAAAATAAGGCAAAAGCCAAATTCCCTACCAGTTCTTCCTTGTTCTCTATCTTCAGCAGGCGGGAGCCATGAGACCGGCAGTCTTCTTTACTCTCCTGCCACGTTCTCTTTTCACTGATAAAGTGGTAGCACTTCCCTCCATGCTGTATCCAGCCCCCAGGGCAAGAACTGCATCTATCTCCTAGAACAAGAGAGCAATGCAGAGTCGTCATGTTTCAGCATGGATGGGTGTGATGCAGTTGGATGCTGGATGTCACTGGGCACTCGCTAGTGCATACGTGTCTCACTGTTCTGTTCTGTATTGGGCATTTGCAGAAGTGGACTGTGCCCACGAAAGCTCCTAATATTGTTTATATATTTTGTTAGTCTCTAAGGTGCATTGTTGTTTTCTCTCTTTTTTTAGTTACAGACTAACACAGCTAGCCCTCTGAGACCTTGGTTCTGTTTGGGAATGGAGAGTTTGACTTCCCACGCTAGTGTGTGCACCACCAGTCCAGAACAGCCTGGGGTTTAGGACATTAACCACAATTATGGTATACTCAGTTCCAGGCCTCGTTCTAAACCAGGCAGAGCAGGGTCTTAACTCTGGCTCTGTTGCATTCTGCATGAGGCCTCTCAACATCAGGCTACTGGCTTCAATAGGGCTTCTCTGCTTCTCAGGAAAAACTTTAACAAGTCTCTTTTACACCAGAATGAAATGGGAAAATTTTGAATTCTCAAAAATGTTCATGGAACAGGAATCCTGTTTCCCATCCGGCTATACACAGATCACACACCCAATCAAAAACGAAGGTAATGAGAGCATGAGAGGAGAAAGAGAGCAAGTCTCACAGCATTGTGCCCTCATAAAAGGTCTTTGTGCAGGAGGTAGCAACAGTGAGATGTCTTTCTGAACAACTTGCATCCACTGAGGATGAATCATCATCATGGCATTGTTTTCAAAGTTCGGGAAGTAAGGCTGTTAATTGGGATGAAACCTGAAAACCGAGCTAGCACGGTGTCAGCACTGCGTGAGGGAAGTGTATGCAGGTTACTCTGTACCTCAGCTTAACTGAATGTTGCATTAGTCAAAACCCATCTGCTTCTCAGTGTCTTTACCTTGTATTATGCAGAAATGTCACTTGGTGTAGGGGTAAACTGAGGCAGTCCATGGTATCTTGCTGAGAACTGACAACTCAAATCCTAAATTAAGGCCAGGCGTGGGAAACACACAGACAGCAGTTAACTCGACCCTGGTTCCCCTGGCAACTACATTCCAAAGGGGCCTCACTCTAATAAGGCCAGACTGCACGGTTTTCCTTATGGTCTCCTGTAATTTCAGATTAATCAGCTTGGATCCCAAGGACTGTGTCAACACAAGGAAGAAGTCATCTCGCAGTAGACATCACAACTTCCGCAAAACAGGTTAACATCCAATATGTCCATTTTGGGGGCTTCCATTCAGTTTATGTTGGCTTATTTAGCTTGTTGGGAATAATTATTTGTATTAGTAATAATATGTTTAATTGGTGATGGGCGGGGATCCTATGTAACCTTTATATTTCATTGGCATATGTGCTTATCTCATTTCTGCCGCTAGACCTATCAAATCACTTCCTCTCCATCCATCTGCTGTTTATATAGTCTAATGTATGTTTTTGTTAAGTTAGTGCTCACCAGGCTAACACCTGATGGGCACTCCACCAGCTGTGTGAACCAATAAGTCCTCTGCTTGTTTTCACCTGCACCCAGTGTGTCCAGAATTATTCCCTACACCCGGCCTCCTCAGGAATGCCCATATTTTTGTAATTGGAAGCTAGTGAGCCAGGGATCATGATTAAGGACATCATACTTGAGCTAAGATTTTTGTGGTTTCTATGTAATTAGTACTTAGATGAGGTCCTTGCACATTACGGGCATGGTCTACATTAGGAAATTATTTTTAAATAACAATTCAAAAGGAATTGGGCAGGGGGCTGGACTTGATGACCTTCTGAGGTCTCTTCTAGCTCTATGATTCTAAAATAAAACGAACTATTTCGAAATAGCATGTCCACACAGCACGGAAGCCTTGAAATTAGTCTGAGACAGGCTCCCTTAATGTGGATGCTCTACCTCAACTTAGAGCCCCAGGAAGGACTGGGGAGTAATTAGTCTGAATGACATTGGGGAGTAGTTATTTCAACATAGGAGCAGTGGAGCATTCACACTATTTCTAAACAACTATTTTGAAATAAGCATTAATCCTCGTGGAAAGCAGGAGTTATTATTTTGAAATAACCAGCCCCTCATTTTGAAATAACAGGCATGGTAGTGTGGATGCTCCACTTGTTATTTTGGAATAACTCTGGGTATGTCTACACTACCCCGCTAGTTCGAACTAGCGGGGTAGTGTAGACATACCCAGAGTTATTCCAAAATAACAAGTGGAGCATCCACACTACCATGCCTGTTATTTCAAAATGAGGGGCTGGTTATTTTGAAATAATAACTTCTGCTTTCCACGAGGAAAAACTCTAATTCCAAAACAGTAGTGGTAGTGTCACTGGAAGTCCACACTATTTCAAAACAATTACTCCCCAGAGTAATTCAAAGTAATTACTCCCCTGTGCTTCCTGGGGCTCTAAGTCGAGGTAGCACATCCACATTAAGGCTGTGTCTACACTGCGGGTTTTTTTCAGAAGAGGAAATGCAAATAGAGCTCTCATTTGCATATTTTCTGAGCCTTTTTGCGGAAGAGGTTTTTGCAACAAAAAGCCCTGGGTAGACAGGACCATTTGTCAGAAAAAAAACCTTTTGTGCAAGAACCTGCAAACCTCTTTTTTTGAGGAAAAAGGGATCTTGCACAAAAGGGTTGTTTCATAGACTATGTGCACAAAGACAGCAGTATCTTTTTTTTGTTAACAAGAACAGGGAGAGCTTTCTTCTGGTTAAGTAACAATATTACCATGGAGAATATGGTAGAACAATATACCTGTCTTATTCATTACATTTGAGAAATTTGTTTTCTGAGCTTGGAGATCATCTCTTTGCTGTGTGCAGTTTTTCAGAGTTTTCTGCAATTGGGTGAAGTTTTTCTGAATAGCTTGTTTCTGGATTAATTCTTCATTCAGTCTTCTCACTTGATCAGAAGCCTGGAATACTTAAATCCATATCCCAATAAATCAGTTAAAACAAAAATAAATACACTTGTATAAATCAGTTTCCTTTTCCAATATAAGGATGCTAACATCAATAGAAATAGTTGCCCTCAAGGCTTACAATCTTGGGACTGAAATGGAGACCTCCAGAGCTAAAATCATGAGCTCTTATAGCTTGATCTAACCTTGAAAAAATATATCAGCAAAGCTACAGTAGACAGGGGGATGAAAAAAGTACTCCAATAAGTGACAGTTATGCCAGCCTAACCCAAAACATAGGTGCACTAAGTGGAATAATGCTATGGTAGCTACCATCATTTGGTGAGATGGTGTTCCTATTCCAAATGGAAAACTCTTTTCATTGGAGTAGGTCATATCAATACATAGGGGATATGGCAGCATAGCTATGGCAAATTATCTAGGTTGGCATAATCTCCATAGTATAGACACATTCAAATATAAAAACTTACAAAACAACAAATTGTTAGACCTTAAAGACTAACAAAACATGTAGATGGTGTCATGAGCTTTCATGGGCGCAACCCAGTTCTTCAGATGACTGAAATATTGGAAGTCCAGATCCAAGAATAAATAAGGGAAGGGGGAGGGGAAAAGAGGGTGGGGGAAAGAGAGAGAAAGTGGATGATTCAAATAGGTACAAGAGGCTGATAAGAACAATTAGAACCTCCGTCTGTTGGTTGGTTAAGTCATTAGAATCATAGAACCATAGAACTGGAAGAGACCTCAGAAGGTCATCAAGTCCAGCCCCATGCTCTAGGCAGGACCAATCCCAACTAAATCAACCTGGCCAGGGCTTTGTCAAGCCGAGACTTAAACACCTCTAGGGATGGAGACTCCACTACTTCCCTAGGTAACCAATTCCAGGGCTTCACTACCCTCCTAGGATGTGGAAGGTAGCATGTGAGCCAGCCAATGTCCGTGTTCATACCATTTGCATAAGAATTAAACTTGTAAATGAAATTAAGTTCCAACCTTTCCCTGTGTATTGGCTTGTGGAATTGACCTGAAATAACACAGTGAATTGGAGATCCATTAATGAGTGTCCAGGTAGATTAAAGTGTTCTCCAACAGGTTTCTGTGTATTGCCTTTTCGGATATCTGATTTGTGTCTATTAATTCTTTCCTGTAGAGACTGTTCAGTTTGGCCAATATACATAGCAGAGGGGCACTGCTGGCACTTGATGGCATAGATCCCATTAGTGGATGTGCAGTTAAATGAGCCTCTGATTTGGTGGCTGATGTGGTTGGGTCCAGTAATGAAATCGCTAGTGTAGATGTGTGTACTGATAAGGTGGTTCCTGAGTTTCTTTGCGAGAGTGTGGCATAATCGCTGTCTGTGGGATAAATAGATTGCAGTGGGTTTTTCATCCTCAGTCCCTTATGTATTATGTTCATCTGTTTGCACTTGGAAAGGAAGATGATGTCTGTTTGGATCTATGCAAGTTTTTTTGTGTAGTTGATGGTTTGCTAATTGTTCTTATCAGCCTCTTGTAATTATCTGAACTATCTACTCACTATTTCTCTCTTTTTTTCCCCTTGATCCTTTTCTCCCTTATTTAAGATTTTCCAGGTACAGACTAACTCTGCTACCCTTCCAAATATAGAAAGCTCAGTAACAATTCATATCCTCTGTGGATTACTGAGGAACCTGTAACACTCATGCTCATTAATGGATTACACAATGTGGATTTTTCAGTTTTATTCTGACTTTAAAGGAATTAAGGAATTGGTGTAATATTACTTTGCTATTTTACAGAACAAACTCCAAGGTTTTAAATCTAACAAAATATGTGCCAAAGATGTTTTTGAAAAAAGTGTCATTAAAAATAGCTACCTAGTCTCATGATTTACACTGAAGTAACCAAGAACAGAATCAGGCCTCATTCTCTTTTGGACTGGTAAATTGAGCAAACTTTAAAAAAATCAGGAAACCAATCGGAACCAAATACCATTCTATATCACAACTGAAGCTAAATAATTTTGTTTTGTTTTGTTTGGAACTAAAATAATCTGGAAAAATGTAAACAAAAACTTGTTTTTTCAGTTTCTCTTACCAAGGCAACAAAAATAGAAACCAAAACAAAATAAATTTCAGATATAAAAGCAGCCAGAATAAAATGAAAAAACGGAAACAACACAGAAAATTGGGGCATTTTGTTTCACTTTTTAGGCATGCTCTCCAATACAAAATAGTTATGTTTTTCAGTTCTCCCAACAGTTTTGTTTCAGGCATTTTTTATGCTTTTTATTCTGACATCACTGAAACAAATCATTTTACTTTTTAAAAAAAGATTTTTTTCCCCAAAAAAAGCTTTCAACAAATTCTACCTGGATTTACAAATAGTTTCAGTGTATGGAAAAAATACATTTTTGGCTAACAAAATATTCACTGAAAAAAATCACCCAATCCTAGTCATGGTGCCATTTCTAACCACATTTAAACTGTTGACAATAAGGGTGTATCTACATAGCACCCTAAACTCAAAATAAGATACGCAATTTGTGCCATGCAAATTGCATATCTTATTTTGATTGAATTTCAAAATAACACACTATTTCGAGACATCCCTTAACCCCCGTGTAATGAGGGTTACCAGGATACTGAAACAGTGTGCCTGTTATTTTGAAAAATATTTCAAAATAACAGATGGCTTGTTAAGATGCAAGACAGATATTTCAGGATACCGCCAGTATCCTGAAATTACCGCACAATGTAGACATGCCCTTAGTGGCCCAAATCAATTTAAATCTTAACTCAGAAGGATTCTTAAGACCACCCCTCCCCCCAGGTTACAGAACTGGAGTTGCAACACAAAATGTAACTTCAAAGTGCTGCCTATAGGGCTATTTGTAGAGCCTAGTGCAAGCGCCACTAGCCTGAGACTGTTGAGCTAGGCGTTTACACACATCACTTTAACACTTTTCAGAAGTTCCCTTCTAAACTTCATAACTGTTCACAATGTTTTGTTACTTTCTTGGAAAATACTTACACATGGCACCCAAAACCCCTGCAGTTACTAGCAAAGCCAGGCAAAGGAGCCCCGGAATCACTGTAATGACCCATGGTGAAGCTGGAGAAGGAGTTTCTAACAGAAATAAGAGAGAAAATGAAAGCAAACATGGGTAGGTCTTGAGGATCAGACCAGAGCTCTCAACCACACCAGTCTACCAAAGTCAGGAACCACCCAGCCCAACAGTAATAGCCATTGAATATGTGCTCACTAAATCTGGCATGAATTGAGAAGTCTTGGAGAAACCAGTCACTCCTAGCAAAGGCTAGAACTGTAACATCCCAATTTCTGACCAGGCTTTGGCCCAGTGTGGTCCTAAGTGAGTTCCCAGGAATGTGTCATTTCCTGGCACAATAGATAAAATTCTAATTGCATTTTTTTCTGAAATATGAGGCCATAGACAGTTGCTACATCAGGAGGAAGATGTTTGAGTATAAAAACTTTGATAAAAGAACATAACAGCTCAAATGCTTACCTTTGCCCTCTGCACTTGTGGGTGTTTGCTGCCTCTGCTGCTTTGAACGAGCGTGAAACTTCAGATCAGAATAGATTATGTCCTGCTTGGTGATTTCTGATAGGTTATAAGGATGGAGAGTCAACTCTATGAAATTGTCATTACAGCTGGTGGAAACATAGCTTCATAATAAGCAAGGCAGTCAGTCTGGGCTCCTGGTTAATATAATACAGACCATAGAAACTCACTCAGGACACATCAACACTGTAACGTTATTTTGAAATAACAAGGTGAGCATCCACACAGCAAGCCTGTTATTTCTAAATTATATCAAAATAACAGGCTTCTTATTCCAGAATAATAAACCCTCATTTCACAAGGAATAATTCCTATTTCGAAATAGGGTGAGTGATGCTCCACTGCTGCTATTTTGAAATAACTTCTCCCCGGGGCCATTCAAAATAATTACTCCCCAGTGCCTCCTGGGGCTCTAAATTAAGGTAATGCATCCACATTAGGGGAGCCTGCCACGGACTAATTTTGAGGCTTCCCTGTAGTGTGGACATGCAATTCTGAAATAGTTATTTTGGGAGTTATGATTCCAAAATAGCTTATTTTGAAATACCCTTGTAGTGTAGATGTACCCTCAGTTAATTCCTGTTTCCAAAACCAATAACTGTTTGTTGAAGTGAGCTATATCTTTTGGAAAGAAAGAGTCAATCTTCATTGAAAGACTTCAAATGATGGAGATTTATCACAGTCTTTGATAATCTGTGCCACTGGTTAGTTACACACCTTGTTCAAAATTTGTGTCCAATTTCCAAATTGAACTTTATCTGAGTCATCCATTTAGGAAGAAGAAACAACTCTATGTAACTTAGGTGACCAATCACAAAGTTTAAAATAGTGAAGTATGAACAGTGAATTCTTGAAGCAGTAGCCACTGCAAATAGCTGAACATAAAACACACGGGCTATGTCTACACTAGTGCGATCTTGCGCAAAAACGGCCACTTTTGTGCAAAAACTTGCTGCCTGTCTACACCGGCCACGTGTTCTTGCGCAAGTACACTGACATTCTAATCAGTGTTTCTTGCACAAGAACTCTGATGCTTCCACTCAGGAATAAGCCCTCTTGCACAACTGTTCTTGAGCAAGAGGCCAGTTTAGACGGGCAACATGAATTTCTTGCGCAAGGAAGCCTTATGGTTAAAATGGCCATCAGAGCTTTCTTGTGCAAGAGAGCGTCTACACTGGCATGGATGCTGTTGTGCAAAAGCACATCTCTTGCGCAAACGCATATGCCAGTGTAGACACTCTCTTCTGGAAGAGTTTTTGCACAAGATCATGCCAGTGTAGACTTAGCCACACTTAATGATTTCATATAGAAAACCATTTTTAATTGAAGCTTGTTCTTAGATAAGTCATGAACAGAATATGGGGCTGTCAATTCTCTGAGGGCTGATTCTTCCATTATGACTCATGTCACATGTACCTTTGTCTGTGAATATAAGCAAGGGAAGGAATCAGCCCTTTAAAAAAAAATGTTCCATGCAGCAATGGCCTAATAAGGACAGCAGGATTTGGCCCAAGGGCTGTAGCCAGTTAGAGTACGAGGTTGGACAGAAAGCACATGGTGAATTCAACATTTATTTCTTTTTTTCCCTGGTATCTTTACACCAAAAAAAAAAATACGGATCTTTCAAAGCTATATCCTGAAGAAAGAGCCATCGATTGGGGTTACCTACTTGCTCTTCGAAACTGCAGATCAAAGGCCTAAGCTGTATAGTGAAACAGTTGGGCTGTGTCTAGACTGGCAAGTTTTTCCGGAAAATCATCTGCTTTTCTGGAAAAACTTGCCAGCTGTCTACACTGGCCATTTGAATTTCCGGAAAAGCACTGACGATCTCATGTAAAATCATCAGTGCTATTCCGGAAAAACTATGCTGCTCCTGTTTGGGCAAAAGTCTTTTTCCGAAAGACTTTTGCGCGAAAGGGCCAGTGTAGACAGCATAGTACAGTTTTCCGCAAAAAAGCCCCGATCGTGAAAAAGGCGATTGGGGCTTTTTTGCGGAAAAGCGCGTCTAGATTGGCCACGGACGCTTTTCCACAAAAAGTGCTTTTGCGGAAAAGCATCCTGCCAATTTAGACGCGTTTTTCCGAAAATGCTTTTAACGGAAAACTTTTCCGTTAAAAGCATTTTTGGAAATTCATGCCAGTGTAGACGTAGCCTTAAAGTATCCATTTGGGGTCTGGCTTCTGACCTTAAAACTGACACCTAAAAGGACAAACTCAATTGTGACGTCTGAGAGAGCCCTGTGAGAGCTCGGAGTAACCCCAAGTAAGCTGTTAGAAAGCATGTAGGTTCTTTTGTTTTTGTTTTTTTAAATGTATTCTCTTTAATGCTTCTGCCCTAACAATAAATGCAGTGTGCTTCATGGAGGTTGTTGTTTGGTAACTGGTATACACTCTTACAGCCTTAGAAAAGAGTTTTGCTGCAGGTGCTGGCCCCTGCTGGGAAATCACAGTGGGACTCTATGATGGGTTTGGTCACAGAGATCTCCATGAGACTATCACCCGGTGTACTCAAAATATCACTAAGCCCTCTGGGATGCCCCATCTCTCTGACCTGGGGCCCAGCTCTCTCTAGTGCACCCATGTTTCTGTGGTATGCTTAGAGGGAGGTGCCCCCCAAATCTACAGGATTTTCTCCATTTGACCATCTTACTTGGAAGGAAAATGAGGAGATGCCTCAGTCTCATTAAAAACACATGGGAAGGAAGCAGTGTGGTGAGGGAAGCACCAGTTACTGAGTATTTTCAAAGTCTCAGAGGGACAGCCATGTTAGTCTGTAACTTTAAAAACAACAAATAATCCTGTGGCACCTTTAGAGACTAATCAGTATACACACACAGTTATCATGAGACTTCATGGGCAAGACTCCCTTCCTCAGATAAACTTGGGAGAGTTTGAGATGAGCATTTTCAAAGGCTCAGAAGGGATCTAGCAGACATGATGGAAATTTTCCAAACCAACCATTGAGGCAGTCAGGCCACCCAAAAGATATGGTATGACAGGAATACACTGTGGCAGCATCAATACCACTCCTGGGCCCCAGGCCCCCTGTTCAGCCCACTGTCCCACAATCTAGGAGTCACAGTACATGGCTCACTCGCCCTGATTTGAGGTTTGTTGTCTCCCTGTAGTCTTTAACAATGCCTATGCTCTCAACTCTGTCTCTAAACTCCTTCTCAATTCAATTCAATTCTTTCCCACCTCCCCCTAGGGAGGGTTCTAAAATAGGCCTCAAGGCAGCCGCAATCAGCTTCACCTGGACCTTAATTGATTTGTAGCCACCCTGTCTTAGCTGCCCCTAATTAGCCAGGATTGTTGATTCTTTCTGCCCCTTTCCCCTTCCACCAAGCTGTGGAACCGACTGTATTGCCCCACTCTGTCTCCTGACTGGAGTGGAAAAGGAGCCACTCTTCCACTGATCACGGCAGGCTGCTGGTCTGGGCTTGTTGTGCTTTTTCCTTCCCTGCACCCCTTCCCTCCACTTTTTGGGAGGGGTGTGTGTGGGGGGCCACTGGGGTTGTGGCAGGTAGGCCCTGGCTACATTCTGGGCCAGGTCCCCTCTTCTTTCTGCCTGCTCTGTCTGCAGGCAGCCTTTCCCCACCCCCACCCCTCAGCTGGCTGCAGGAGCTGCTGGGGGTGTGGGGGTGGACAGGGGGGACTTTGCTGCCTCACCCTGGTGGGGGGAGCGGGACCCCCTATTTTCCATCTTTTTGGGGACTGCCTGGCCCCTTTTTTCACAGTTGCAGGCCTGAACTTCACCGTTCCTGCAGCTGCTACTCCCTCTGGAGTGGAGGAGGTAAGGGGGCTGCTTTACAGCAACTCCTGGGGTTCTTAATTCCCCTCCACAAGTTGGTGGGGGGGGGAAGACTGGGCCCCGAGGTAGCAGCTGGCACAGCTTTTGTGGGGTGCTGGGACTGGAGGTGGTTCCCTCTGCTCCCTGCTGTCTCCCCTGCATTTCTGCTGCTGCTGCTGCTGTTGCTGCCCCAGCCTCAGGTGCTGC